GATATGGACATTTTTTCCTATCAGCACTTAAACAGCTGCATCCTTCACAACATATTTTTATCATATAATATCATTAAGTGCTGGGGCAAGAGATACAAACTTCATTTGTGTCTTTCCTAATTACTAAAGCCTTTGAAGTGTTATGCACTTTATAAGAAGGGCCCTGCCTTGTTCTCAGGAAGGGGTTTCATGTAAGAGAAAAGGGGCCAGTAGGTGCTCTGTGAAGTGCTAGTTCCCCCAAAAGGCAGCACCTTCCACCAGAAGGGCAGTGATAAGAGGGGGAGATTTTTGCCTCTTGGAGAACAGAAGAGTAGTTAGCCTGCAGAAAGCATTCCACACATGTACTGCTGTGTCCTGAAAGCAGCACAAGTGAAATAGGGCCTTCTTCTCTGCCCCCCACTATAAAGGTCAGGGGTGGGTATGGTATTGCCATCATTAGTGAAGTCTGTGGAAAGAAGTCTCCTCACTGAGAGGAAAGAGGTGACAGGACCAGTAGCTACTAGGACCCAGTGCTCTGCTGTGGAACACTCCAGGGTGGCAGTGCTGTCGCAATAGGGAAAAAGATGCTTAAATATAAGAAGCTAGGTCACATGCATCAGGAATGGTCCTTGCTTCTGGCAGGAGCAGCTGTTACCCTAGTGCCCTCCATCTGGAGTTGGATAGAAGGATTTTTGTTTGTTTTAATTATTACCACCTTCCTTGGCAACTTGTTGCTTATTCTAGCTGCTCGTCTTACCATTTGCCACATAATGGATTAATGATATACCACACTGAGAGTAAAGGAAGTCAGTGCAGGAATCAAGTCTCTGTACATATCCATTTGAAGCAGCAGCTAGGGGAACAGCACTGCCCAATCAAAGATTGGTTTAGTTCCTTATCAACACCAGCAGTAGAAGGGTAGGGAAACAGCAAGAAGTAGAACTGAGGCTTTAGTATCCTGCTACCTCATGCAAATCGTAGGGTATTTCCTGCTACCTCTACCCTTACACTGATAGAAAACAAGGGAAACCAAGCTAGTAAAAATCAATGCATTTGAAGTCCTATACGACCAGGTCCTTGGTGTCCTCAGAAGTGCCTCAGAACTAGAAAGTCTGACAGCTGAATAAAACTGCTTCCAATACAGGAGTACACAGTTAGACCTCTAGTTTCAGGTTAGGCCATTTCAGTATCAGCTTGAGTCTGCAGAAGAAGACACTTCAACTTCCATGGGGATAAGCAGCCTTATTCTTAACTTTAGGAAGTTTCAGGTAGATTGCTACTGCCTTTTGTAGAACAGTGACCACGTGTGTATTAGCCATTACGAGAAGGATGCCCGGCCAACAGCTTACATTTAAGCAAGTGGCCACTTAGTGACAGGAGAGTTACCATGCTGAGTATAGAAAAAGAGGGAATAGGTTAGTAATGAGGGAGTCAGAAACAGGGAGGGATTGAGTTCTGTTTTTGTTAAGTTTATTGGTAGCATGTTTGTCTCTTTACAGAAGAGCTCAGCCTACGTACTAGAATGTAGACTTCTGGAAAAAAAATAGCTAGAAGGGCTCTATTTAAGCAAGCTACAAAAAACCCCCAAAAAACGCAAGAACAAATACTAGGGAGAAAGGAGGAGGGGGAAGGAGCTAGACTGCCGAGTTTCTCCGTACCAAAAAAATTCTAGAGTAGTGGTCAGTAAGAGAGGAAAGGTTCCTAGTTCAAGTCATTGGCCAAGGTATGACTACCACAAGCCAGATGGGAAGGAGCTCCTTCTACAAAAAGGCAAAAGTCACTGGAACATCTCACCTTAGACTTTTTGGATTTCCTGCGAGATGTTAAATGGATGAGGGGGGTTTCTTGTATAAGGTGGTCTGTATTTTACCATTCTGGATGCTGATCAGTGTGTCTAAAAAGGAGATGTTGGTGCTGGAGTACTCAAGATAGTCGGA